AATGAAATCACTGCCATGTTCGTTTGTCTAGAAAAAGTCGAATGGTTTTAAGCAAAAATGTTCCTTTTCCCAAAAAATTTTATTGTTCAAATGAAACAGAAAAAAAATATCCTTTTTATTTAGTTATAACACAACTAAACGAATATATGTTTGTTAACGAAAAATAGGTAGATTTATAAATACAGTCGAAAGCAAACAGAATGATAAAAGATAAGTTATCATAGCTTGCTCTGTTTTTCGCTTTATTTTCTTAAGTATGACGAGTACGCTTTGACTTCTGAAGATCATGTGTGAACAATTCAGCTGAATGGTAATCTCGTTTTCGTGCCAATTGATTAGCTACTTGTTGGCTAACAAAACTTTCCAGCTGTTCTGACTGACGATTCGATGAAATATCGTGATGAGTTTTATTATCATTATCTACTCGATAAACAAAACAATCGATTGCAATTTATTACCAAGGCAATTTACCATTCATAACAAGGGCTTGTCGAAATGTTTGTAAATCATCAACAATTGGAAGTGAATTCGATGTATTTACATGTAAATTATGAACTTCGGATGGATAAGCAGCTGGACGATCAATCAAATAGTTATAAAGCTCATCCGTACGTATATGTCGACGTTGTTTACGACGTGTCCAACATAAGATTTGCTTAGTTTTACGTTGTTGACCATTGATGATGCCGAGTTGAATAGTATCTTTCAATGCATCGAGACTTTCTACAAACAAATCATGTGCATTAATTCAGTTTCCATTCTAACATACCTTTGTAAAGCATGGCAACAGACTCAGCTGCTGTATGAAAGGCATTCCAATTGGTAGTACCCTTCGAACGTGCTACAAATGGAAGTAGAAAGCGATACTAGTACAAATTGTTTTCATACCACGAAACATTTTTGTCACATTTGTAGCCGCATTTTGAAAAGCAAGAAATAATTTTTGTGTATATAAATCTTGTTCGTTTGATAGATTTTCTTGAATTGTGCGTTCTAATTCATCTTCGTATTTTGATAATGCAGTTTCATCATTATCGGTCGACATGGAAGGATTAGTTTGTGAGTCGTCGCAGTTCGACATTGTATTTCTGCAAATGAAAATGAAAAATAATCAATATTATTTTATACTTCTCATCCAATAAATACCCAGGGGAAGATGTCGCTAGTGGTTTCGTTCAAAATTAAGGGAAAGGGTTTTTATAGAAGAAAATATTCTAATTAACGAATTTTTGTCATTTTGAAGCTCAACTAACGAGCTCCTACTCAAAACAATTCTCATTGGTCGGTTCCATTTCAGTATAAATTACGCAGCACAAGACATATTTCGTTGCTTTATACGAAATAACAAAAAAAAGAAAAAACATGGACAAAAATGATAATGAACAAGTAGCATCTCCAGCATCCGTTGAAACACCATCAAGCACAGCTGACACTAGTCAACAACGATATGATTCAATGGGTGATGATGGATCGTTTTTCGTTGGAAGGTATTTTTAGATTTTCGCTTCTTTTACTTTTCACTCACACTTCATCTCGTGTATGTAGTTTACCAGCTGAAGTTGTACGACGTGTGAATGCACTTCGAAATCTTCAAGCAGAACATCATAAAATCGAAGCAAGCTTTTTCGAAGAGGTTCATGCACTTGAATGTCGTTATTTAAGCAAATATCAGCCACTTTACGAAAAAGTACGAATGAAAAATCTAATGAGAACAATCAGACAAAGAAGACATGTGTTCTTTTTAGCGTTTGAACATTATCAAAGGTGCTTATGAGCCAACAGAAGAAGAAAGTAAATGTGCATTTGATGAAGATGAAGTATGATGAATCATTCGGATGGAGAAATCGAATTTCTAATTGTATTTTCTTTCCTAGACTGATGAACAAGCAAAAAAAGACAAAGAAGAAGAAGGAAAGAAAGACGAAGGTATTTACGATGAAGAAAACTTGCTTAACAATGAATGTTGTTGAGTACTTGTAGGAACAACAGTCGGTATTCCTGAATTTTGGCTGCAAGTATTCAAAAATTCTGATGTTCTTTCTGAACTGATCAAAGTAAAAACAGCACGAGTGTTTATATGGCCTATGAAACCTATCAACGTATTTAGGAACAAGATGAAGAAGTACTCAAACATCTCAGTGACGTTCGCATTACTATGAAGAATGAGGCGAATGAGAAAGGCTTCACCATTGAATTTGAATTTACGCCAAATGAATACTTCACTAATACCGTCTTAACAAAATTCTATGAACTTCGCACTGGACCAGACGAGCATGAACCATTAGCTTATGAAGGACCAGAAATCATCAAATCGAAAGGATGCGAAATTCTGTGGAATAAAGGCAAAAATGTCACAATGAAAATGGTCAAAAAACGACAAAAACACAAGAATCGTGGAACCATTCGAGTAGTGACCAAAGAAGTACAAACAGATTCATTTTTCAACTTTTTCACACCACCAACTGGTAGATGCGATCGTTTTGCTTGATCATGTTGACACCGAATCATTCATTTTCGTTTTAGTTCCCGACGATCCTGATGCTGAAATGGAAGATAGTGATGAAATGAGAATGTTAGCAGCAGATTTTGAAATCGGTCATATGTTACGAGATTCGATTGTTCCCAAAGCTGTTCTTTACTATACTGGTGAAGTTGCCGATGAAGACGATGGAGAAGTACGAAGAAGTTTTCTAGAGCAAAACTATCCTATTTACTCAATACTATGCTTGCCTTTTGTGTAGTATGATGAAGAAGGAGATGAAGATGATGAAGACGACGATGATGATGACGACGATGACGATGATGACGAACATGAAGGTCAGGCTGCACCCCGCGGTGGACATCATCATCATGGAAGTGGTGGCAAACATGGTCCCGGTGGTGTAAGTATTTCTGACTTTGTTCAACTTTGTCTATCAAGGTTCTTTGATTGAATTAGAAATCTCGTGGTGGAAAACAAGGCGGTGCTGGTCAACAACAACCAGAATGCAAACAACAGTAAAACAAAGAAAATGAAAACAGTGACAATGTGTCGTTTTTTTTTATGCTGATACTAACTTTTTTTGTTGGTTGTTTTTTTCCAAGCGTTCATCTATTGTTGTTGTTATTGTTATATCTAGAAACATTCTTTTATCAACGTAAAAAAGAAGATGATAAGAAAAGAAGGAACAATTTCTCTCAATTGTTTTTATGAGAGAAACACAAGGAAAACGATGCTTTGCACATTAGAACATCGACTTCTACTGTATTTTCAAACGATGAGCTTTTTTCAAATAGGACTTTATTAAAAGAAATGAAGCAAGTTTTATTCGATGTGATATCTGCGTCACTGTTTTATGTTGTTAGTTTTTCGATCAACTTCTTGGTGCCTGTCTTCAATCCAAACTGCATAAGTACAGCACAGCAGATCAGGTACAGACGATCTTAAAATCTCGTTGCTCGCTTTTATTAGTAGAAACCTTTGTAACAAGTATGACGAATAGAGTACTAAGATTTGTATTTGAGAAAAAAATATCCACGTGAAAGAGAATATCCAACGAAATGAAATAAGTCTTTCATTCTATCATTTGTTTATACATATGGACGCCGAACTTTTTGCTCGTTGTGTTCGAACATTTTCAGTCACAGAGCTTATCCCACATAAGATGTACGCGCTGCACAGCTCGAACAAGAAGTAGCAGTACAGAATATCAAGCATATGATGGCGAAGAAAGAACTTTCGCTTTCATTACATTTTCGTACATTATTCTCTTCGTGCACAAACCATCAACTTGTGAGTGTAACATTGAAACGTGAGAAGATATATCATTGAAAAACGAAGTGAACATCAGATTTCGACTTTCAAACAAAAGCTTAGAGTTCACAGTGAGAATTTCGCGTTAAATTAATGACGTTATCGCAGTCAATTATTGAGCATCCCATGACATACTTAATCACAAGAGCATAACCGGTAACAGCGATTATTGGCAGAGGCAGAGTTAGAACACTGTCCAAGCACCAACGTCATTATTAAGTAATTCGTTAATATCATATACAGGATAAAGGCCAATTGGAGACGTAGGATAGTCGAATGAATGATAGAACGGGTCAATTGCTCTTTGTTCTTCTTTATTTGAAGATTTCGTGTCAAGACAATCGAAACTATTTTAAACAAAAAAGAGCAGCTAAATAATTTTGTCCCTTTACGTAAGAAAGAATGACCTTACTAATAAAATAGTTCTTCTCATTAGACGAGGTTTTTTTTTAATACCTTTTCTTATTGGGTATTAAGAATCATCCTTCTGATCAAACTTCTGCGTATCAACTGAGTTTAGAGATAAATCTTCTAAATGTTCTTACGATGGAAAACGTTTGGAGCATCTTGGCCACTGGAAAAAAACATCTGGCAGACAATACGCATATTGGTGGCGAGAGAACTTAGTCTACAACTCTTAAGCATTGGTGTATCGTGATAAGTCCACTTGTATATAGAACACGCAAATTACCAAACGAAAAAGTACATCGTAGATACGTCAGTTCTGCCAAGCACGTCCGTAGTGCTCAGGAAACGAGCCACAAACCAATCAGTTGCCACTAGCAATGAGAAAGGCATCATAATCTGTTTAAGTCGTGCATTCATCCTACATAATACATATGTAATGAGTACGAAATACACTACACCTATAGCAAAAGCGCACTCCTCACAACAATCAAATGGCTGACGCCGGTAATTTTGTTCTCTATTTTCTTATATAAGGAGAAAAAGGACTCTAGTTCTGCATTTGTCCAAGGTGTGGTCACTTGAGAAAGAAAGAAAGAGCGAAGCATGCTGAGCCTATCAAATATGTTGTCATTAAGACTGAGAAACAGGTATCGCGACTTTTATCAATGTGTTATGTATGAACTGGAACTGATCAGCGAAGCGCCCGGCTTAATTTATAATTACCTATAGTTGAGAAGCACCTGTTTAACGAGTACCAGGAAATATTCTAATGAGAAAGATTTAACAGCCTTGAAATTCAATGGATGATGATGGACCGTTGTTCGTTGGAAGGTATTTTTAGATTTTCGCTTCTTTTACTTTTCACTCACACTTCATTTCGCGTATGTAGTTTACCAGCTGAAGTTGTACGACGTGTGAATGCACTTCGAAATCTTCAAGCAGAACATCATAAAATCGAAGCAAGCTTTTTCGAAGAGGTTCATGCACTTGAATGTCGTTATTTAAGCAAATATCAGCCACTTTACGAAAAAGTACGAATGAAAAGTCTAATGAGAACAATCAGGCAAACAAGACATGTGTTCTTTTTAGCGTTTGAATATTATCAAAAGTGCTTGTGGGCCAACGGAAGAAGATGAAGAAATCGATTTCCGAATTGTATTGTTTCTTGTAGACTGATGAGCAAGAAAAATAAGACCAAAAAGAAAACGACGATGATAGTCAACATGACGTCGATTATGTAAAGTATCTTTGAGTTCGAAATTTTGCGGTTAAAAATAAGACAATGCTGGTCTACAACACCCAGGTATCAAAGATCAGTAGCATACTGGGCCATTTTTGCTACTGGTGCTGACCTTTATTCTTATTATTTCTGGAAGTATTGTTCTATTAACGGAAGGCAGCTTTTTCATATCGAAAAGAAAAGAATTGATTACTTTCGATGTTTTATGAAATGTAGCATAAAAAAGAATGTTTTGTACATTTGAGTATTGATTTTTACTCTACAATATACAGCACAGAAAAAGAAAATTCTGTTTACGATCGGATTCCACTGTCAATTGATGATATCTGGTAATGAATAATAACTTTTTTGGTGTTGTATGTCGAAATCAGTTGAATAATGCAAAGGAGTTGTCGGCGGGTCGTGTGGAACTGGGCGATCTAAATTATGATGTAGATAATTCCATACATTCATTCTTTTTTTATCATTTTTTTCGGTTAATAGAACTGTTCGTTTGTTTGGATTCGGAACATATAATGATTTGTTTGGCATTGTTTTCTTTTTCGATAATACAGGTGGTCGTTGAGTAATCGGCGCTAAGGAAAGTTGATTTAATGAACTTATGATTGTGCTTGTTTCTAAATCATTATTATCATTTTCCGTAGGTGTGCATGTATTCGCTTTGGAATTTGTACGTGCTACTAGTGAAAATGAAGATGAAAGAATAGACAAATCGCGAGAAGACGTTCTTTTTCGAAATGACGAAGTTAGTTTCTCTTCAACCATCGGATTCGTTCGAAGAACACCGCGAGCAATCAATTTCGATGACTGTGACTTGCAACTCGATTTTGTATTTACGGGATGAAAATACAAACGACGAGTTAACATTTGTGATGTATCTCGTGATGACGTATGACGCAGATCATGAATTGTTTGGCACAGTTCCAATAAAGTCAGGGATTTCGCTTGTACCGAATTGCGCGGCACTGTTGCTGATGCCATCGAAATCGACATGTTACGATTTTCCTTTCGTACTTATTTTTTTAATAAAAATAGATTCTGTCAGTCTACACTTTACTTACATGATTCTAATAAAAATAATCCGACTGATGTAAAGCAACAGAGAGAAAAAAGAAAAGTTTCAAGTACCTAAAAGAAACATACTTGAACGAACATTTTTCGCACGATGTCGCTGACGAAAACGAAAAGAAAGAAAAATACTTATCTATTTCATCGATTGGCTGTTTAATTATTTTCAGGTTAACTAAATAGATTCTCTTTACAAATAAACCATGCCAAAATCACGCTCAAAAATTAAAAAAACCATTCTGACACCTCATGCAGCGATTATTGGTTTAACTGATGAAATTGATCTTTCGATTTGTTGCTCGAATCGAAACTGTCCATCACATTGGCATGATCGCTTGACAGAAAAACTAAAAACTCTTCAACAATCAAAATCGAAAACATCGCCTAGTCTTGTTGCGAAAACCAAATCAATAGCTAATTATAAACTAACATATCCAGACATTTTATCTCAACTATTTCGAATTCAGCAAAGTGATGAGACTGATAATCAAGAGGTCTACTCGATGCCGATTGCAAAATCGGTCATACTGGAGAAGCACAATGATTTCAGCAAACAAGTTGAAACTATGCTAAATGATTCAACGTATAGTTTCATGAAAAATAATCTCAATTCACAAATACAATATCGATTAATACCATTAGTCGCTGATATATTCTCGGATCAAGTATGAGAAAAACTTTTCGTTTGAATTGAACAGAACGATTTGTCCGATTTTAGATGGATCGGATGGAAACGGCAACACCATTGAAAATTAACCTTTTACGTATCAATCACTTACACTTAAAAGCATATTTGCGGTTGAAAATTATCTCCGTGCCAATTTGGAATCGTTCTGCCGTTCATGTTATTGTCCAAGATGAAAACTGCCATTGTCTTCATCTAGCGATCTATAATTGGTCACATATTATCGATACAAGACAAATAAGAACTTTGAAATACATTCAAGAACGGTTAAGTCACTTATTACCGATGAATTCCTATGTCGTTCTTCTTGATCCGTGGCTAAAAAAATGTCGAGATGGAGACATATCACTTCGTTGTGAATCGCCAAATACTCACTTGTTATTAATTGATTTTGAAGAACGGTGTTCAACCAGTCATCGTACGAATGTCGAACAATTAAGACAGATCGGTAATCTTTGCTATCAGGTTGATGATAATCTGAGTGCAATTCGATATTATACATTTGGTTTGAAGCAACTTGATGACGAACAAGAAAAAGAACTAGCATCCAAAGGACAATCGAGTATGTAACAAGAAAACGGTCGTCGATAGTTTTCGAATCGACTGAAATCTTCTGACTTTAGTCGGACCAAAGACGGATGAACGTGAACAACATCGTATTCGTCTTCTGTCTAATCGATGTGCTTGTTATTTACGCGAACGTCATGCAGCATTAGCATTGGCTGATACTGGTATTCTTCTTGCATTTAACGAATTAACGCACATTCTCGAACTACCGAAGGCGACAACAGGAAAATTATTATTCCGTTGTTTGAGTGCTCATCTTTATCTCGGGCTATTTGACAAAGTTGAAGGTTTGTTAAAATCACACAAATTCGGTGTTGGCCTGTCCGGTGGAGAAAACTTGACAACAATGGCGATACTAGAGCGAGAATTAATACGATTGAGAGATGAAAATACTAAAGGACGCTATGACTTACAAGGAATGCTACACAAACAAATAACTAATAAATCACCGTTGATGTTTATTGACCTACCAAATCATCATGCTGAGTGTCATCGAAATGATTTATTCGAAGTTCGAGCTTCAGAAGAATTAACTAAAAATGGATACCCAAATGGTTCGTATGGTGTTTATGCATTGAAAAATCTTGATGTAGGAACATTGTTGGTCGCTGAACAGCCATTTGCCAGCATTGATCATCGAACCATCGGTGAAGAATACAGTCACAAATTAAATTATTGGAATGAAAACTCTACAATTGAATACTGCTGCAGTGAGACATTACGTTTATTGAATGAAATCGAAAAGCAATTGTTGATTGGTAATGATACATGGACAACATTTGAAAAGATTAAATCCATGCAACCGATTCGACGGTGGTTAGCAGAGAATGTTAAAGATGATTTGTCCAAACAGCAAGAAGAGAATGAAACCTCATCGAACTTGCCGGAAAATTACGAAGAAATTTTATCCGAAAAGAAACAATGGAGAAAACCTTTTTCAAAGTAAATCAACTAGCTATTCACATGTTTCAGCATAAACATTTTTCTCCTAGACGATTGCCACCACCATTGCCATACGTTCCCTGGCGTGTTCTATTCGAAACTCAACAACAAAACCCATATAAATCTCAATCAACTCTCGGATGGTACTCTCTAGGTTCCATGTTTAATCATTCATGTTTACCTAATTGTACATGGTATCTCATCGGGGATTATCTGTTTATATATGTTTGTTCAACTAACGTTCGCCAAGGTGATGAATTAACGATCTCCTATTGCCCATTGTGGATTTCATCGGTCAATGAACGTTCGACTTATCTTGAACGGTTTAATATCCGATCATGTCAATGCTCACTTTGCACCTACGATCGATTAGACTTAATTGAGTATGAAAAAGATTTGAAGAAGTTTTCGAATATTCGTGCATTAGCTCGGCAAAAGAATCTTTCGAATTTCAATCGTTTTGTTTATTTACAACAGTTGCATGAACATTACGAATATTTAACAAATAGATATTCGAACCGAGCGGTTGGCTTTGTCAATGAATTTATTGATTTAGAATCAATAAATCAATATTTTCAAATTGATTCAGCGGAGAATGAAATCAAGGAATATCTCAATCATCGACAAGATTCGTTTCTAGATCGTTTCTCACACGTTTGTCGATTGACCTTACCACAAATATCGAATCCAATTCTTCTATTTGGAACTCAAATACAGGTAATTTAACAAGACTTTCTCTTTGAAAAGTTGTTGTTGTTTTCTTGTCATATAGTTACTCATCCATCATCTCGAACATTTCTACTCATCGGATTACAAACAATGGAATCGTCTGTTGGTGTATCTTTATGAAATCTACACATTCAAATGCCATTCGGTTTCGAACGATATGCCAACAACTTTAAAGGATTACAAGGAACTCTTTACTAACCTTACGCATACTCAATCGTTCTTTTCACGTACATTCTACAAAGGTTAATGAACTTCTAATAAAGTGATTGTTTTGTCTGATATGCGTTCAAGTGTTTCGGTTGAAATTACAATAAAGAAAAGGTCCCATATACGTGCACACGACTATCTTATCCAGTTTGTGTCTCCTTGACAGTTTTCTTCTATAACAACTTACGTGCGTCATTGTTTGGTTGAGTCAATTCTCAACACAGAGAGTTTCGTCATAAAATGCGTATGCAATTGACGTTGCCCTTTATCAGCTATATATAGAGAGTGAGTTTTTATGTTGACATACACGTGTAAAATGCATACAACAGTTTTCTTATTCTTACTTGGCTGCATCACAACATGTCAGTTACAGCAAGTATACTATTGTGATTTTGAAGAAAACTGTGATAGTTTGCTATTTGATAATTACTGGGCGGTTAATAATGTTTCAACGCACGCTGATCATACGTATGGAAACTTATCCGGCCATTATATAACAACGACTGACCTTGGAACATTGAAATCGGCGGTTAGTTTTCGTGCAAAAGATTGGATTGAGCCTCCAACAAATATGACGGCGTGTCTAACGCAATGGATCTATTCGAACGAAAAGAATATTACTTTCAGCGCAGAGCTTGCTCAAGGTGATGATTTACAATCCCGATTATCAGCAGGTTTAATTGGAGTCAGTGGTAATAATTCGCAATGGAACAGTTTCACTATACAATTACCTTATGC